AAATCTAGAGGTAATTTAAAGAATCTAGGAGGATGAGCATAAGTTATATGCAAATACTACTCCATTTTACACAAGAAATTTCAGCATGGATTTTGGTATCCATGGACGGGAGGGGTTCTGTGACCGATCTCCCACCAGCACCAAGGCACCACTGTATGCACAGAGTAGGCTCTCCAGAAACAGCAGAGGGTTCATTCTGCCCATGTTCCTGGGCGTAGGAGGCAGCCAGGTTGTATTAAGGAGCCTCTAGACCCTGGGAAAGTGGAATAAAAGTATTTCACTGTAAGAGTGGATGGCGTTAGTCTTAGGATTGAAGTGGCCCTCTCTGCTGTTGCTGAGTACACTCACTAAATAAGTGAAAACCAAACAGGCATTAAGAAAACTAGCAGATCACTTAAAAGACATGACTTTTGCATACATTCAAGCAGGTGAAATTAATGACTGAGAGTATATATCCTGAAAGGAAAGTGGAAAGACTTGGGTTCAGATTCCGGATTCTGTCATTAATTAGCTATGTGATTTTGTGCAAGTTACTTGGCAATAAATTTTCTCACATGTAAAATAAGAAAATTAATGCGTATCTTGTCTTTGAAAGGATGACATGAGATTATGTATACAGCACTTCATGTTAGAGTGCAGATTCTTGATAAATGTTGGTTTTGAAAATCAGTGATGAGGACTTCATTTTTAATAATTTAAGGAGTTTTAAAATTACAGTTGGTGTTTATAGAAAATTAGAAATTGCAGATAAGCAAAAAGAAAATAGAAAGCACTCATATCCTGAGCATACAAAGATATTCGATATTAACATTTTCTTCGGTATTTTTAATGATGGATTATAAATATTTTCCTATGTTCTTAAATATTTCTTTGGAAGAGCTACATAGTATTCTATTATAACATTGAATTACCCTTTTAACATGAAACTTTTAGACAGTGTCTACATTTTTGTTTTTTGTATCTGACAACTCTATAGCCAAATACTTTCACACTTACGTAATTTTTCCCTATGATTAAATTCAAGAAGTAACGTGGTAGTTTTTAGTATAATGAAGAAAATGATATGAAGTATGAAAAACACAGAGTATAGTAACTGGCACTTAGTCGTTGATAAATGCTGAAGATGGAGGATCTGCGCATGTACTGTAAGAGGGGAAGGAGAAATATTTGGGTGGATATTTGCTGTTCATTTTTTTCCTTTTCGTTGTGGATTCCACCTGCTGCTGGTGTGACCTGAACGTGCGCTTCAGCCTGCTGCCCCCCGCGCTGGGTTTGAACGCCAGTCTGGGGCCCTCTTGGCAGAGCTGTCCCCTCAAGCACCAAAAACAGAAACATGCAGCTGGCGGGCTACCCGTGGAAAGACAGTATCGCCCTGAAAGATGTGTTCTCATCCGCAGGCTCAAGCGCAGTTTTAAAGGAGGGAAGGGGAAGCGCCCGTTCTCCGCGTGGCCATGCACCGCCCGCCCCGGCCCCCCGTGGTGTCCGTGCTGCCGGTACTGAGGTACAGGGCCCGTGGCAGTGCCGGGCAGGCTCCAGGGAGACACTGCCGGGGTCTGGGCCGCGCAGGCGGGACGGGCTGGGTGGGCGCCGTGCTGGACCGGGGAGCGCGGCTCCGGCAGAGCGGCGGCTGCGCCCCCTGCGGAGGGGAGCAGGCAGGCCTGGGCTTGCCGGGAGTCCAGCCTCTCCGAGAGCCTGAAAACCTGGATGTTTTCATCTGAGTCGTTCAGTTTCCTCCTATTATGGGGAAAATGGAGGAATACGTTTTTTAAAAGTGCGCGCGTGCGCGTGTGGCGGGGGGATGGTTTACTTTCTTGGAACGAGTCTCCAGACGGCTCTGTGGATTTTAGGACTCGTCAGCCTCCATAATTGCAGAAGCCAGTTCCTTGAAATAAATGAGCGTGTGTGTGTTTCACGCATGTGTGTACATCTACACACACATCCTGTTGGTCCCTTTTCTCTAGAGAACCGGGACACAGAGAGGAAACGTGTGGAGGGACAAGGAAAGGTACTGCACTTCTTTGAACATGTCTTGTTTTGTAGATTTGACTGTTATGCTGTATAAATACTTCACAAATCCATAAAACAAAATTAGGTTTTTTTTAAAAATCAGTCATGAAGAAATGAACCTCTGTGGACAGCAGGTTGGCGGAATGACCACACAGAGCTCTTGCAAGCGGCTTTGAAACCCAGAAGTCTGTGCTTTCCTAGTACGATACACTTTTAGTATTTTTTTAAAAAAAACAAATTGTAAACTGTTTTTCCTAATCACATTGTTACTGTGGTAGTGGCATTTGTGTTCTGAAACTCTTCTGTGTGTATCGTGGGTTAAATCAACTGAGTGATCAAGGTAATGTTACCGAGAACATGGATTTTTAGTATGAAATAAAGGTAACAGCATTATCGGGTCCATGAGGTTAAATGGAAACCTTCAAGTCCTGAATTTGAACTGAAGTCTTGTGTGCACTCCTGGTGCTTCTATTTAAAAACATAACTTATTTTCTAGCTTTTTCCACAGAAACAAGGGTCAATTCCATAGCAGTGAGCACCCAAAGTTCCCAGCTTATCACCTCTAAATACCAGTTCCCACCAAACTGAACCAGGACTTTTGTTAGAAGTGGCTGCTTCCAGGCCTGGGGCAGCACATACATAAGATAACCCTGGAATATCTTGTCATACCAGAAACTATGGGCCATTAAAGACTGCCAGGTCATATTAGAAGGACTTAGGAGTCAACTTGAAGAGACCCGCCACTGAGAAAGAACAGGGCAGACAGTGAGACCATCAGTAGGGATTAAAAAGTAGTTCTGGAGTGAAACAAATCAAAATGTTCATAGTGATACTTATTTTATTTATTTACTTGTTTGTTTATGTTTTTTACAAGCGAAAGTTTACTTAGAAAGTCACCGAGAAAGAAGGAACAAGTTACAGAGATGAAAGAAGGGCACTTGGAGCATAGGAAAAAGAAAAAGAAAATCATAGTGATATTTAAAAAATAAAAATCTCACCTTGGCTGGGTAGATCAGTTGGTTAGAATGTCATCCCAATACGCTAAGGTTGCAGGTTCAATCTCCGGTCAGGACACATACAAGAATCAATCAATGAATGCATCAGTAAGTGGAACAACAAATTGATGTGTCTGGCCATCTGTCTGTCTCTCCCCCCGCCCCCATCAGTACATAAAAATTTTTTTAAAAAATAAGTAAAAATAAAAATCTCAGTCATCCTTGGAGGATATTAGATAACCGATTCAGTATTTTGAAGGTCAATAAATAAAGGGGGGAAAATCAAGCATCTAGGGTAAACATGTAGCTGATGACATGCAATTTCCCTTGATAGAACATCCCAGCTAACGAATTCAGAAGAAACAATGGCATTACCTGATAACCAATTTTAACTCTCTAGTGAGGTAATGGATCCCCTGGGCAAAGATCACCAATGACTGATGACAATGTAGCAAGAACATCATGTGCTTCTTGGTAGAGCAGTACCACATGTGATAGCCAGAAAAACACCCTCTGCTTCGAAGATGTCAGTATTCTAATCTCAGAACCCATGTAAAGATACATAACGTGATGGGGGGGATTAAGTTACAGGTGAAATTATATTTGCTAATAAGGTGATCTTAAAATAGGAAGATTATCCTGGCTTATCCAAGTGTGGATGAGGGAGGCAGAAGACATGTCAGAGAGCCTGGATATGAGAAAGACTCCACCAACTATTGCCAACTTTGAAGGTGGAGGGGCCACAAGCCCGAGCATGTGGCCAGCCTTGAGGAGCTAGAAAAAGTTGAGAAATAAAGTCTCCCTTAGAGGTTACAGAGAGAAATGCAGCAGCTTGCTGACACCTTGACTCGTCTTTTGAGTGGTGGGTCAGATGTCTAACATACAGAACTGTGAGATGTTACATTTGTGTTGTCTTAAGCCACTGAGTTTGTGATTATTTCTGATAGTAGCAATAAAAAACTAATATATTCTCTTTCCCAGGATGTATTCTTTCTAGAAAACTGAGTCTGAATCTGATCAAGCCCCTTGATATAACTACCAATTTACAGGAAATATGGGGTGCAAAGGAACACATTATATGAAATTACGGCAATATCTAAACTTCAGGCAGTGCTGTTAGAAAAGTGCTTTGTTCTGTTTATCAAATCGTGTGTGTGCGTATGTGTGTTTATTTATGGGAGAGAAACTAACTTAGGAGATTTTAGGAAATGACCTAGTATTTTATGTGTCAACCAATTGCAGTGTAGAACTTGATTCAAATAAGTAAAATAATGAGATAAATATTAATGAAATCCAAACACTGACATTGGATATTTGATTGTACTAAGGAATTACTTTTTTCTTCAGTGTGGTAGTAGTATTATGGTTAACTTTAAACAAAGGAGGGGTAGTGTGGTAGGTGTAATAGATAACAATAAATGTAAACTGATACTAGTTGAAGATTGATAGGTACATAAATGTTTGCTTCTTATTCTTTCTACTTTGGTATATACTTTAATATTTCTATAATAAACTATTAGTAAAATTATCAGTAATTGCTCTGACTTCTTAAATATGTTGTAAGCCACACATGCCATGTCCAAGGGCTGGATTTGTCCAGCAGACTGCCAGTTTGCGACTGCTGCATGGGGTTTCGGGAAAAAGGATCTGTTGCTTTAACTCGGGGAGTCATCCTTTCCTCTGTTCCCGCTCACCCCCTGCCTTCATTCTCTCTGCACTGCCTGGCCAATGGGCCTCCTTCATCTGGGGCACGAGAACAACTCGAAGGGTCGTTACAGATTGCTTGGGATAGAATTTCCTTAGAAGAAGTAAGCAAAGAGGGCAGTATGCGTAATTGCATTGAACAGTGCCTCCTACTAATCTGTGTATTTGTTTGAACCCCTACCCACTCATTCTACTCTCTGGAAAAAAAAAAAAAAGGCAATATTTGAAAACTGGAGGTGTTTTGAAATTTTGACAAACTGCACTTTTCATGTTTTCTCTGTACCTCTGTTTCAGGATGGAATGGGGAACTTGAGAATCACAGAAAAAGGCCTAAAGCTAGAAGGAGACTCAGAATTCTTGCAACCTCTCTACGCCAAAGAAATCCAGTCCCAACCGGTAAGTCTCTGCGGAGAGAAGGAATGATTGCTCCTCTGGAATGTAGGCCGGGGGACATCTGTCTCACCATCAGATGAGCATAAAAGGTGGCATGGGGTCGATGATACAGGTAACATGTTGGATTCAAACCCAAAGTCCTGAGTGTAATAACAGTTCAATTAAAGAATGGAGGTTCAGAAAGGAAGTATGGCCAAAGCCACATAGTTGTGAAGTAGGAGGACAAGGATTTCCACTCGGTAATGTAATTCTGAAGCTTTTCTGTTAAGCACCGTCTTATTCCTAAGTTTTTTCTCTCATTTCTTCTCTTTTGCCATGATAGTGATTCCTAGATACTTGCTTTTATTACCCAATATTAACAAAATTAATTATCGTTTATGAGAGGGGTTTTGGGTATGTTTTTGTTTCTTTGGTGTTTATTTTCGTTTTTGGTGGGTGGTGGACTTTGCTGGTTGGAGGGGATTATTAATTCATTTGCTTTGCCTGGATTGATTCGGGTCCACCTGGAAGCAGAGTATCAGGAAAGCTCCCCAAAGCATCATTTGCATCGTGTGCAGTGGTTGGGGAAATTAATGAAATTGGACAACTTGATGCAGTGGGGAATTTTAAACTGAATATTATCTAAACTACTGAGTTGTATTAAACTGTGTGCAACTGCTGAATTGCCAATAAATGTATTTCCTCGTGAATCTAGTAAAAGAGAGGAAGCCATGATGTTAAAAATCATCAAAAAGTGCCAGTTGGTGTTTCTGCAGAATGAATATAAATTTTAACTGAAACTCATAGCATCCTGGCTTGCACACTTAAAGTCCCAAGAGTATTGTAAATGTACCCGCTGTCTTTGAGGAAGTTACATCCTAGCAGGAGGAATGGACTAAAACCATAATGAGGAGGTTCGGGTGATGATTCTGCCTCGGATTGAATGGAGACCATTGGTTTTAAGCATTTCAGAAATACCTGGGATATGCATTGCACTTTTTTGTTGTTGTTTTAAATTTTTTTAAGATTTTTTTATTGTCATTCTAACACAGCTGTCCCAATTTTTCCCCGTTTGCCCTCCCCCGCCCACCCTGCCCCCACTCGCCCAGTCCGTCCCCACACCGTTGTCCATGCCCATGCGTCACTCATACATGCCTTGTAACTAGTCCCTCCCCCCTCTTCCCACCATTATCTGCCCCCCTCCCCCGGTCACTGTCAGTCTGTTCCATGTTTCCATACGTGTGGTTCTACTTTGTTCACTAGTTTATTTTGTTCATTCGCTTCCTCCTATAGTTGAGATCATACGATATTTGTCTTTCACTGACTGGCTTATTTCACTTAGCATAATATTCTCCAGTTCCATCCATGCTGTCATGAAAAGTAGGAGTTCCTTCTTTCTTTCTGCTTCATAGTATTCCATTGTGTAAATGTATGACAGTTTTTTGATCCACTCATCTACTGATAGGCACTGAGGCTGTTTCCAGCACTTGGCTATTGTAAATAATGCTGCGATGAGCATAAGGGTATATAAGTTCTTTCAAACTGATGATCAGGAACTCTTAAGAGTATATTTCCAGCAGCAAAATCTCTGGGTCAACGGCAGTTACATTTTTAGTTTTTTGAAGAAATTCCATACTGTTTTACATAGTGGCTGCACCAGCCTGCATTCCCACAAACGGTGCACTAGGGTTCCCTTTTCGCCCCATCCTTGCCAGCACTTGTTGTTTGTTGATTTATTGATGATGGCCATTCTGACAGGTATGAGAGGATATCTCATTGTGGTTTCTGTATCTCTCTGATGGCTAGTGATGCTGAGCATCTTTTCATATGTCTCTGGACCATCTGTATGTCCTCCTTGGAGAAGTGACTATTCAGGTCCTTTGCCCGTTTTTTAATTGGATTATTTGTCTTCCTGGTGTTGAGTCATATGAGTACTTTATATATTTGGGGGATCAAACCCTTGTCCACTGTATCATTGGCAAATATGTTCTCCCATACGGTTGGTTCCCTTTTCATTTTGATGATGGTTTCTTTGGCCATGCAGAAGATTTTTAATTTGATGTAGTCCCATTTGTTTGTTTTTTCCTTTATTTCCCTTGTTCTAGGAGATATATCCGCAAAAATATTGCTACATGGGATATCTGAAATTGTACTGCCTGTATTTTCCTCTAGGAATTTTATGGTGTCATGACTTACAAATATTTTACCTATTTTGAGTTTATTTTGGTGTATGGTATAAGTTGGTGGTCTAGCTCTTGATCTGCCTTTACTTCTCCTATCCTGGCAGGTTGGTTAGTTAAATCATTGGTTTGAGTTACTAGTTACACTTTAGATGAATAATTTCATCTATCTTGAGCTTGCTTAACTCACTAGTTTGGACTGGCCATTTTTCTCTGATGGCATTGGCCAGAAGGAAATATTTTAGGGTTTTTTTCCCCCTTTTATACAATTCTATAAACATGTTTAAAAAAAACCCAAAAACTAAAAACCCATATTCTCTCAAGGGACACAAAAACAGGCTGCAGACTCTAGTTTGCCAATCTCTCTAACCTATATTAGTGGTATTTCTGTAATTATATAAATGGTCTGGTAGATTGTATGTGTACTCAAGAGTAGATTTTAAAATCATAGATAGAATAGTTGGTATGTGTTAAGTAAAATATCCTGAAATGTTTCCTTGGTATAGAATTAGATTCCTATTAAGGAATTGAGAAATGTGTTTTAGAAGACTTGAGAAAGGGCACCTGGTATATCTCAGACTCACACAGGAATGGAACTTATAGCAAGTATTTCAGCCAGTCTTTCAGGAAATGAAGAATCGTTTGACCTCAACACAAAGACACACTTGATTGGACGATTAAAAAGTAATGATAATTTCAAAAACGTCCCTTTAATATTGAAAAATCAAGGGGTTAAATTCAGTGCTTTCAAATATCCATTTAAAGAAAATAAAGTATTAAAATTCACTGTTTTTCCTTTTTTTCCTTTTGGAAAATATAGTAAATAAATAAAGCTTTTTAGACTTACATGTTTCTTATGACAAAATAAATATCATCCAGCTGAAGATATTATATTTGCATACAGAAATGCGTAGACAATAATATCTTTCAGTAAGTCATGTGCGCTGTACCTGAAACACGTTCTCCATTCTATGCCACTCCCATTTCAAGCCACCGTCTCTTTTGCCTGTATCAGTGCCGTAGCCTCCCCTCTCTCTGCTGCCGTTTACTCAGCGTCGTAATCCAAATTGCAGCCAAAGTTGTCTCTTCAAAATGTCAAGTCATTCCACCCCTTTGCAAAGTGTTCTCCATCAGCTTTCCGTTGCACCTAGAATAAAAAAGAAAATTCTCGCTAGAGACTTTCATGCAAGGCTCCTCGGGTCAGCCTGAATTCAGTTCAAATATCACCATTTTACAAAGCCCCCCGCCCCCAATCAATCCATTGAGCATAGCAGCCATATATAGACACCGCTCTGGTTTTCCCCCTTGTTACTGTCATCATTTGTATTCTTATTTGCTTAAGAATATAAATTTGGAAGAGCAAGAGATTGTCTGGATTTTCCCGACTACATTCCCCAGTTCTATTGCTAAGTCCATACACATAGTATGTGCTCAGTAGATATTTGTGGAATTGAGTAATGAATTATTAAAAATGAAAGCATCCCTTAAATTTATCTTGCATTTGCAAGCACTGCTAACAATTTATTCAATTTTTTCAGCCATCTACCATGAGTATATTTTTTAACAAAGCCATACTTTGCATTCTATTCCGTGCTTATTTTCCACCAAATAATATATTAACAGTAAAATTTTTATATCTAAATAATATTTAAAAGTTTAAGAGTTTTTTGAGGTATAACTGATATAAAATAAGCCACACATATTTAAAGTGTGCAATTTTATAAGTATTTACTTACGTATATACTTGTGACACCACCACCAAAATCGCGATAAGAAATGTGTCACCCCTAAGAGTTCTTCCAGGCCTCGTCCTGTGGCGTCCGCCCTGCGTCTCTAACTCCTGTCACCAAGCGACCACTGATCTGCTTTTGTCCTTTACATTTTCTTGCATTTCTTAGAACTTCATATAAATAGAATCAGACCTATAAGCGGAACCTAACCACAATGCAAAGAAGCAAGGAAAATATGACCAGCAACACTGAAAGGAAAAGAAATCAACAGAGACAAGAGGGAAGGGGGTGGGGCAGGGAAAGGGAAGGGAAGGGGAAAGTCAAGGAACATATAGCAAGGACTCATGGACAAAACCAAAGGGGAAGAGCTGAGGGAGGGAAGGTGGGAGGGGCAAGGGAAAGAGGTGGGGGGAAGGCAGAGACAAATGTATTTAAAAAGTAAATAAATTAATTAAAAAAAAATAGAACCAGACAATTTACATATCTAAATAATTTTAAGAATAAGTTGTATGTCATTTTGTCAAGATCTTTTTTTAACCATCTACTTAATATCCAACTTAAAGAAGAATAAGATAGTTTTTGCCTGCAGTTGGGCCGTGTCTTGGTTGGGCTGGTGAGCGAGAGGACTGATAAAGGTGGCTCAGGGCGTAGGCCTTTACTGTTTTTCTCTTGGGTGACATCAGACCACAGAAAAGAGACTGTAGAATAACATATTAGGCATGACAACCAAGGTAGAATTAGTCTCTCTTTGAATTGTCACAGCAGGTGAAAACATATGTTGGATCAAAAAGGCAAGAGTAACACTAGGAGCTGGTGACTTAGTACACAGGGCTCCCCTTCCCTCGAGCACAGAGACAGTTGCCAGCTGGACAAAACTGGGGTCCTGAGAGCAAAGAAAATCTTGGGAATGACTGATGGACAGGCAGTCAATAGAATTTGCCATACTTACTGATCATAACCTCACGTGATGCTCACGTGAACCTCACATGTAGCAGCTTTCCCTTCCCCATCTGGCATCTTCAGCTTACTGGTTTTCTCCAACGCACCTGAAGACTCTTCTCTTTAGAATGACCTGCAGTATCATTTCCCCACAGACCATAGCTGCTTCTGTTGT